ACCAAACACAATACCGCCTGCCTTGCTAAACAATTGCAGAAGGAGAACTGAAAGAAATGAAGGAAAGCCTGAAGGGGGAATGGCACCACAAGCCTTGATTCTTACCAGTCCTCCTGATCCACCAGTGGCTACGGCTGCTGTTGCAGCCATGAAAAGCCCTTTCATTTGAATGAGGTCAGGCAGTCACAAGTCCTGCCTTACAATAGCCCCATCTGCTTTCTGAAAAGCTCACTGGGTGTCAGGGGACGTAATGGAGGGCACTACCACTGGGGAACCCTGGCACAAACAATCGCATCAACCATAGTCAAATTAATTAAACCCTGGTTTCATATGATGTCTCAACTGAGCCATAGTCTATTTAAGACTATTTCCGAAATGGAATTACTTCTTTCTCAATGCATGAACCGATGTAGTTGATCACATGTAGGTTAGACCCCCAGAAACCTCTCCTTGGGCCCTGCCTGTGGCCACTTCTACAAAATTCCTTTGCTGTTTGTTTTGGTGAGGTTTTTTATCTGGTATTTTCTTCTATCCAAGGCAACTTAATCTCCACTCATGCACAGCTTAGACAGCTGCGCTTCGTTGTATCTGTTCCCCGATCCACGTTTGTCTAGATAGAAAGCAGGGGTCGTTTCGTAGAAAAAGAGCTAGGGGAAATCATTAGCATAACTCATTAGCATATGCCACACCCCCTGACATCAGGGGCCTGGCAGTGGACCTGCAAGGCCGGCGGGAGTGCGAGGAAGCCCCGCGAAGGCCCTCCCTGGACCCAGGCAGGCAGGGGTGGGGAGAGGCGGGGAGGAAGCAACTTACCCTCCCTCTTCTCCTGCTTCCTCCTGGCTGAATGAGGGCTGGAAGCGGGGCGGCCGGAAGCAGGGGGCGGGGCTTCGTCATGTGCCCCGCCCCCCGTACCTCACCCGGGGGAACTGCGATCCACTGCGATCCCCCCTGAATCGACCTCTGATAGAAAGACATTTATGTCGCCAGTGTAGCAACCGAGGTCTCCTGGGACTTCCCAAGCCTGATGCGGGAGACAAGTCTTTGGGGTCTGTAGGGAGTGGGAGTTAAAGATGTTTCCCTTTCCCCCTTCCTCTTCTTCTCCGTTATTCGTTTCCCAGATAGCAACTCAAAACAAGAGAGAAACAACTCTATTTTAGAAGACCGTTTTGGAGTTCTGCCAAGTTATTTCTTTCATATTTTTTTTTAAATGTGTTTTGGAGTTTGAGGTTGTAGGTCCTGTAAGCTGTGACTTTTTAAAAACATTTGGTTAGTTATGAATGCCAGATGTTTGTCTGAATAAAGTATTCACAACTATAACAACTGTGCAGTAATTGAGAGCCAGCATAGAGTAGCGGTTAGAGTGCCGGATGCACTCTAGCCCAGGTTCGAATCCCCGTTTCTGTCAGAGAAGCTTGCTGGGTGACCATGGGCCAGTCACACACCTTCAACCTGGCCTACCTTATGAGGTTATTGTGAGAATAAAATGAACAAAGGGAGAATACGGTAAGCCACTTTGGATCCCCTTTGGGAAGAAAAGTGTAGTACAAATCAAGCAAGTAAATAAGCAAATAATGATTTGCAAAGACAGGTGAGGAGGAGAACCTAAATATTTAAATGCTTTGTAAAAGGTGCTCACGTACTACTTAGGTTTCCCTTGCTTGAAAGCCAGTTGAATCCGACTCTCCAAGCCGCTTCTCTTCATCTCCGCTTCCAAGCCAAAGAGCCACCGCTGTCCAAAGACATCTCCGTGGTCATGTGGCCAGCATGACTAGACGTCAAGGCGCATGGAATGCTGTTACCTTCCCATTGAAGTGGTCCCTATTTATCTACTTGCAATTTGTTGCTTTCAAACTGCTAGGTTGGCAGGAGCTGTGACCAGAGACGGGACCTCACTCCGTCATACGGCACTTGGGTCTCGAACTGCTGAACTACCGACCTTCCAGTCTGCAGTTCAGCGCCTTAACCACTTGAGCCACCGCAGCCCCTCAGGTACTACTTAGATTTAATGAAATCATTACAAGTGTGCTCAGTTCCAACAACTCTCTAAGGCACAGTCAGCCACAGATTCATGCCCTTCCCGTATTCCTCTTACCCTCTTTGTGTGCAGCCCGCTTGCATCTTGATTCGCTGTTTACCGGAAATCACAGCATATTTCAACAAACTGGGGTTACTGCTTGCCCTCCAAACCAGAACAAGAAAACTCACCATGGTTTCCGATTCTGGTTTGGAGGGTGAGGGCAAACTGTGGTTTGCAGAGGGAGACATTATGGTACAGAAGAACCTAAGAGTAGTCATGCTGGATCAAACCAGCGGTCCATACAATCTCAACAGCAACCGGTCCAATGTCACAGGGAAGCCTGCAAGCAGGGCCCATAGATGACAGCCCTTACCTGCTGATGGCTCCTCAGCATCTGAGAATCAGAGGCCCTTTGTCTCTGTGATAGCCCTATCACAGCTAATAGCCAGCACAAATCTATCCTCCATAAAGCTTTGTGTGGGTATGTAAAGTACCGTCATGTTGCAGCTGACTTATGGTGACCCCAGCAAGTGCTTTCAAGGCAAGTGAAAAGCAGAGGGTGGTTGGCCATTCCCTTCCTCTGCACAGTTCTCCTTTGTGGTCTCCCTTTCAAGTACCGACCTTGCTTAGCTTCCGAGTTCTGATGAGTTTGGGCTATACCACGCCACCTACAACTGCCCAACTTCCTTTTAAATGCAAGCTAATAGCTGTCACCACATCTTCTGGCAGTGAGTTCCACAATTCCACTACCTAGGGTTTTAAGGAACGTTTTCTTTTGTCTGTCTTGAATATACTCCTCATCAGTGTCACAGAGTGACCCCGAGTTCTACTATCATGGGACAGGAAGAAAGATTCTCCCTGATCCCTGCATAACTTTGTAGATCTCCTGTCATCCTTCTGTCACATTTTTCTAAACTACAAAAATCCCAGATGATTTAGCCTTGCCTCTTCGGTAGAGTCGCCAACCTCCAGGTGGGCCCCGGAGATCTCCCTCTATTACAACTGATCTCCAGATAACAGAGATCAGTTCACTGCTTTGGAGGGTGGACTCTATGGCATCGTACCCTGCTGAGGTCCCTCCCCTCCCCAAGCCCCGCCCTCCTCAGGCTCCACCCTCCAAACCTCCAGATATTTCCCAACCCAGAGCTGGCAATGCTACACCAACTGCATGATAATTTTCTGTATTTATTTATTACGGCATCGAGCCAACATAACCATAACACGTTAGGATACAGAGTTTTAAAAAGCAACGGATTTTATCTGCACGATCACACAGTCAACATCTGCCTCCCGTTCCCAGCCGTTGGTTTCCGGCTCAAAACCGCTTTAACCCGGAGTATTTTGTCACCAGGTCCCAAAGTGGTGTTTTCTCAGCTCTCCCATTTAAAGACGCATTTCCCCCCTGTGTGATTGCTCCTCCAGTGTCAAGCCACTTCCAGTTTAAACCCCCTCCCCACTCGAAAGTTGCCCGAGGCTTCCGCTTTTCGCCTGCTGTTTTTTTAATGCATTGGCAGTGTGCGCATAGGTCACTTGTTTTAGCGTTTAGATGAGTTTGGGATCTCACGGAAGCCATTTTCGGGTCAAACATTTAAAGGGAAGTCTTTTGTTGGAGGTGTTGGTTTGATTCGCCCTGGTGGTTCTGCACATGCACCATGATAGTTCCCCCCCATTCTACGGATAAGCGCCTATGCGCATGCGCAAACTGAGAAAAAAAATGTAAAAACACCCACCGACACACATTCCCGTGTGTCGGTAGTGTAGACGCCAGGGACCGACGTGACTGCGTGGTGATATGTTTGTCGCGGATCTTATTGTACCAGTTCCATCTAAACATCATATGTTCAATGGTTTCCGCTTCCCCAGACATCACACTGGCAGAGCCTCTGGTCAAACGGGACCCTTCTATATCTACCCACAAGCACTGCGGAAGTGAGAGGCTCACATCTAGCTAACGTAAAGGCTCTCCTAAATTTATAGGTGTCGAAATGCGATAAGTAGTCCATAGGGACCGGGCGATATCTCATTTGCTCAGGCACTCTAAAGTTGGGATATTTACCAAGATCTGCCTGCCTCTTCACATCCATTATTCTCTGTTTAAGAGCTAACTTTGCCTGATCCCAGCGCATGGCCAGAATCTCTTGGAGAGAGAAACCAAGAAGACGTAGTTTGTTATGAACTGCGTTTAACCATTTTGATTGAAAATTGTCCAACAACAGCAAATGAGTTCCCTTTTCTATACTTTCCCCCAGGTCTTCAGCTACAGTAAACTGTGACTACTGGTAAACAGGAGACAGAGAGCAAAGCCACACACATGAGGGGAGAGAGAAGGGAAAGTACAGTTGTGAACCTAAGGCTTATTTCTAATCCCCCAGACAATGGCCTGCAAGATCCTCTGGACTGCGCCTGTACGGTGATCGACTGGCAGCGGTCATTTGTGCCTCACTAGGGTTGCCAACCTCCAGGTGGGGCCTGGAGACCTCCCGCTATTACAACTGGTCTCCAGGCAATAGAGATCAGTTCCTCTGGAGAAAATGGCTGCTTTGGAGGGTGGACTCTATGGCATGGTACCCGGCTGAAGTCCCTCCCCGCCCCAGGCTCCAGATCTCCAGGTATTTCTTCACCCACAGCTGGCAACCCCGTGTCTCACCCAACACAAACTAATAACAAAACACACCCTTCTCGTTTAGGGTAGAAATCACTCCCGTCACCCCAAAATGAACCGGGATCTTGGGACTGCAGTATTGCAGAATCACAAGGAGAGAGACGGCACAGTTCTAAGCAGAGCTCCACCCTTCTAAGTCCACCCAACTGCCCTGTGAGAAACTTTGGGATTCTGTATTTTAATTTTTGAAATATGGATATAAATTCCCAAGAGGAGCTTTTCTGGACCTTTCCTCAACACGACGGGGCTACTGTGTCCACCAGCCCTTGCTCCAATCTGCTCTTGGTGTGACCGTGGAAAATCACTCAGCTGGGAACTTACCATCTTCCACCTCCAGGAGAGCTTTGGCCAGGATGCTTCCTGCCACACTAATGGCCTGGCACATGTAGTAGCCTGAGTCAGAGGTCTGCACATCCGCGATGGTCATCTCGCCGCTTGGAGATACAGAAAAACGTCCCATGGCCTGAGGGGGCTGGCTGGGGAAAAGCAGGATCTGACCAAAAGGAAAGAGAAACGGGATTCCTGAATTCCTGTCCATTGCACGCTCAGAGGAGGATTGGCTGGGCATGGATATTTACTTGTTATTTATCTGCAATACCTTTTTATATACCCTACCGTAACTTCAAAAAGCTTTCAAAGCAATTGACGGTAAGGGATTAAAAGCAGTAAAATAGATTAAAACAACATCTCAACCTATAAAACAGCAACAAACAAGCAATCAATACTGCATTTACAATATGGCCTGCAGTGCCATCCAAGTTCCCACTCCTAGAACAGCTGTTTCCTGGAATGCCTCCCACCTGAGCAACACTGCAGCCGTTATTTTATTGGGAAGGGCCATGTCTCGGCAAGGGAACATCTGCTTCTCAGGCAGAAGGTCCCAGGTTCACACCCCTGCATCTCCAGCCGAAAGGATCAATAGGTGATGTGAAACACCCTGTCCTGAGACCCTGGACAACCACTGCCTGCCACAGTAGATAATACTGACATGGTCAGACCAATTGTCTGACTCAGCCTAAGGCAGCTTCATGTATTCTCCATACTTCTATGGTTTCCATGTGTGGACACTGTCAGGAAGCCATTTTCAAACCTCTGTCTTTTCATTGTGGCAGAAGAGGAGGAGGAAGAGGATGACGACATTGGATTTATACCCCGCCCTTCACTTGGAGTCTCAGGGTGGCTTACAATCTCCTTTCCCCTCCTCTCCCCACAACAGACCTGTGAGGTAGTAGGTGGGGCTGAAAGAGTTCTGAGGGAACAGCTCTGACTGACCCAAGGTCACCCAGCTGGCTGCATGTGGAGGAGTGGGGAATCAAACCCGGTTCTCCCAGATGAAGAGTCCACACACTTAGCCATTACACCAAATTGGCTCTCTGACCTGACACTCGTCCTTCTGTGGGAGTTTCAGACATGGTGCTACACATTTTCCAAGCAGATGTTAAGAAGAAGCATCCTGCAATTATTTGGTTGTGAATTTCCAGATTCTGTGGAATTGGCTGTCACTGCAGAGGGTGGCAGAACTCCCAGTGGGATGTCACATGTTCAGCATAACTAAATATCACTGAAGCTGGGATGGGGAGAGGGGAGAGGGAGAGAATGTGATGTTGAAATGCTGGTTTTAGTGGCATCTCCATCGCGCATAATATCTCGGCCTGCCTTTGTTAGAGCTCCATGCTGTGAGAGCCAATGTGGTACAGTGATTAATACCGCTGGGGTCCAGTCTGGAGGACCGGGTTTAATTCCCCACTCCTCCTCCACATGAAGCCTGCTGGGTGACCTTTGGTCAGTCACAGCTCTCTCAGAACTCTCTCAGCCCCACCTACCTCACAAGGTGCCTGCTATGGGGAGGGGAAGGGAAGGCGATTGTAAGCTGCTTTGTGACTCCTTAAGGTAGAGAAAAACAGGGTACAAAACCCTTCTTTTTTTCTTCTGTGACATATGCCATTACAGCAAGCCTGGCCCTGTATCTTTACTCCCCCCGCCCCACTATGTAGATTCTATCCAATAAGCTCAAGATGGTATACAACACTTCATGTCTTTGGTTCGTTACTCATACCTTCTAAAGCCAAAGCAAATGGAGGCAGACCCATGAAAAGCTAGGAGGATGTTCCTCTCCTCCACCACACCAAACACTGCTCTGATCCACAGCTCACACCGGAACAAAGTCCTCCGTCCTCCTAAAGTGGCAACCAAAGGCCAAAATCGTTTTGCTGGCACCTTCCACAGGTTTTTCACTGCTGAAGGAGTCCCAGCAGAGAATCACATCAAGGCCAGCCTAAGGGACTATGTCAGCCAGGGACTCTGTCATCCAGTGCTGTGACCGCACCCTTCCTGCATTACACAGCGTTTACCTCAAGAGCTGATTATTATCTGGCTCAGCGTACACAAACACACACACAAGACAGGAGGCAGAAGGGTACCTGGCAAACCTACCTGGCTGCCTTCCTTTTGCCAGAAGACGGCTGGAGGTGGGTTTCCTTTGGTCTCACATTGAAAGGTCACAGTGCGGCCTTGTGCTACAATCTGGTCCCGAGGCCGGGTCACTAACTGAGGAGGAACTGAGAGGAGAGAAGAGAGGCAGAAGAAAAACAAAAGGAGGACAGGTTTCACCCTCTGAAGAAAGTATCTTTTGTGGCATATCTGAAGCTCATGGGGTGGGGTGGGGGAGGAAACAATGGTGTGAGGGAAAAGGGAATGTGGGGGGGGGGAACATGCCTTCCAAAAGGTTTCCATGGAAACCCAGATCTGGAATGCATAAACTGCCTTTCCACAATTACTTTTTCCCCCCCCATGCAGTGAGCAAAGTGCAGTTGAGGTGTGTGTGGAGACACTGGTCCCACCCTGCTTGCAGCTATGGCAGGGGCACATTTAGGGGCCCCGTGTGGAAACCACTCTCGAGTACAGAAGAACATTGGACATCCCATATACAAGTGCATAAGTGCAGGCTTTCTATGCAGACTGAGATTCTGTCTTCCACAGTGTTCCCATTGGGTGCATGTTCGTATATTCACAGGGCTTCTAACGGACATGTGTATGGGTGAGTGTCCACTCTGAATCCCAAGAATGTGGCTCCTGTGCAACATGAAAGCTTGCTTGCTCCTCCACCAAGAACAGTTAAAGGATAACAACTTCCTCTAAGACAATCGGATAAGAAGACAGCGAACTGTGAGTTGAAAGCACTGAATAGTGGCCGCCACCAAATTAACAACGATTACTAGCACTTTATTATGTTTAGATGGCTTTAGAATTGTTTTAATTGTAATTTATATTTTAATGTAACTTATCTGTTTTATGTAAGCCGCCCTGCGTCGGCTTTGGCAGGAAATCTGACTAATAAATAACACAAATAAATAAATAAATAATAAAGAGAAGATAATACTGGTCTTACTTCTCAATATCTCAGTCACTCTGCCCTAACGATCGTGCAGTGGAGGCAAAGAAACATTCCCATGAGATTCACCATCTTTTAATCCAAACTGATTAAAAGACCCACTGGGCCTCTTGAACTGGACCTGGGGAAGGGCTTTGCTCCCAGGGACCAGGGCACACCAGTTCTGACCTCCTCCTATCCAGCTCTGCCCCATTTACAGCTGAAACACCTGCTTTCACACCACGGGCTCCCAAGGGTGCAATCTAGAAGATTTTAAACAATAACAGCTAGAGGCATTTACAAGGGAAGAGATAAAAGACGGGAACAGTTCAGAGCGTTGGGTATGCGTGAGCCATAACGTCAGGGTAGAAATCAAACATATTAACATGCTTCCAGACAGCTCCAGGTTTAAAATAATAATAATAATAAAAAGCCAGCCTATAAAATACATGCAAAAGAGATCATCTCGCAATGGAAGAAGGCACAGAGTGAGACAGAGGAAGACAAGGGAAGGAACAAGTCCTTTAAATCAGCCACCCGGCCATAAATTACTCTGCAAATTTAAATTCCTCCCCAAACACCTCTGGCTGGCTTTCGAACCTTTTCTCTGCTCTCAATGCAAGACAAATGACATTGGGTTTTACAAATGCAAATCGCCCGCCTTATCTCCTCTCGGCCCTCCCCTTCTCGCCACCTAAAGGAGGAGGGAGAGACAATGCACATCTTTCTTGCAGCGCAGTAAAGTATTTATGGGCCACCAGGCGCTATAAAAAAAGATCTTCAGGTGTGCCATTGTGATGCTGATCACTCCGAGCCTGACTTTAATGAAGTTATGGATTGCCAGGTTGCCCGCATGCTAATGGTGAGGGGTGCTGCCTGCACACAGGGAGCTTGTTAACCAGCTCTTTCCCCAGAAACCAAATCTCCTCCAGTAGAATTTCCGTGCATGAAAAGCAAAGCCTGCTTATCTTTAATTGTTATTGATCGGCACAAGAAATTGGGGTTGAGAAATCTGCACAGACAGGATTTGGAATCACAGCTGAGTCCCACTGCTGGAGGTTGTTTCCTATTTCAGCTTCTGGGCTGGCTTAGTTAGGAAACTCTTCCACTGTTCTTGGAGCTAGCATGCTCAGAGGTTCCAGCAACAGGTATTCAAGTTGTAGCTGTGCCAAACATATTTATGAATATGAATTTTATGATACCCAGAAAAACCCTCATCTTTTCAGCACAGCCAAGGTGGTTGCCACAAAATATTTCGCAGGAGTAGATCTGGTCCTGCCAATGGTCCATCCATGAGCGTCATACTCCATGCATCCACACTTGTCTAGCCTGCTTAAAAAACAACAGTTCTACTCCTGATCACTCTAAAGTGGCACAGAGTTCCACAGGGCAGCTGCGCACTATACCATAGTGATGTTCTACCCATTTTAGCTCAGTTCTACACTACTCTCATTAGGACACATCTGTCAAAGAGAGATGGCCTTCTCAACTTGGCACACCAGAAAAACCATGCCCCTCTTCCCAATAGGCACAGAACCATCACTTCATCAAAGCCAGTCCTTGGAACAACCCGGATGGATGTCATCTCCACACCCTTCCAAGAAGTAGACAAAACTCACTGCATCCACAGGCTGCACACCCCACCAAACGGTAAAAAAAAGACAGGAATGTGAAGCCGTTTATTATTTCATTCAGCTGATTCCCTACAGGGAACCCTTCCCACTTTCTTTCATCCTCTAGAAGGTGCAAAGGTGAAGAGAAGGGAAGCTGCCCAAGTGTATGTGAGAGAGGCATATCTGAGCATCTGAACAGTCTGAAGAAGCATGGACTACTTGTTGTTCTGCTACCTGCTCCCCCTTCCCTTCTGGAAGCAGGAAGGGAGAGGAAGAGAGGGAGCCACTCAGTGGGCCTTGCAGCTGTCTTTCCGTGTCCTTTTGCACACTACATGGTGCAGCAGCAAACCCAGGTTTGCCACCAAGTGAACCCTCCTCAAGGAGCTGCAGATAAACACATCTTCATGTTAAGTACGGCCCATATGTTTCCAGATATGTATTTGGCACAGCCACACTTAAAGATTCATCCTAAGTGGGACTTCCAGTTGAAGGCGGCGCGCTAGGAGACTAACCTCCCGGACCTCCTGAGGGTGAAGCTGCGCTCCAGCAGAAGGAGGGGGTGTGCAGGATCGTCACCCCCCCAGGGACCCGGTTGAAGGGGCTCTGGCCATGGGACTCTCGAGAGGTTGCCTCTTCGCCGGTGCGATGCCGGGGAATTGAGGCGCTTCTCTGTCCCGATGGTTCTTCATGCTGTGAGACCGAATGGAACTAAGTGACGCCGACCGGGGCAAGCGCAGGAAGTCGAGCGTAAGAAACAGAGCTAAAACGAGGTCTATGGGCCAATTATGAACGTTAGTTCAACTAAAGCGAATGGTTAAAGTGAAAAAGAAAGCTCCCCACCCACGCGGAACAGACAGTGAGGCGAGCGACGGAGGGACGCCTCCCATGCGCATAAACTTTTAAGTGAATCGGTGGGGGGGAGCAGAAGAGAAAGTGGTTATAACTGTAGAGAGAGACTTACCAAGGCGAGTTTGAGCGTTTAAGCGCATATTCAGAGACTTTCAAAACTTTTGCAAAAGTAAACAATCCAAAAAGATGGCGGGGAAGAGGACGGAGAAAGAGAAACTGTTAAAAGTGAAAGGAACTGAGAGTCCAAGGCTGGAAGCAACCAACGAGCTGGCAAAGACATTGGCGGAATCCATGCGCCCCCTGCTGGATCAGATGAATAATCTCAGGGAGCAGCTGTGAACAATGAATCAATGTATCACCACTCAGCAAACACAGTTGAATGATACTCTTAAAATGATGAATCAAACAGCTGAGAAGGTGAAAGAAGTGGACGCCACTGCCCAAAGGGTGAAGAAGAAAGTACAAAAACTGGAAAAGAAGCAAATCTCCACAGAAGATCAGCTGTTACAGCTACAAATGGAAAAAGCCAATTTGATTCTTCGCTTCCAGGGAATTCCAGAGACTAAGGAAGAGAATCTGAAGGAAATTATGTGAATTACTGGCCCCAGTGACAGATATGAAGGCGGAATCCTTGCTGAGTGATATGGATGTGGCCTATAGGTCATATTCTGGATATATAAAGAAAAATAATCTGCCTGGGGAAATAGTGATAAGATTCTCAAAGAGGCATGTGAGGGATGCAATCCTGAAAGCTCGTGAAAGTTGGAGAAAACACTATCAGAATTTTAAAAGACATTCCATTTGAAATAAGGCAAAGAAGAAAGAAGTACAAAGATTTAATTCTTTTTCTCCAGACAAATACAATCGGATACAGATGGTTAACTCCAGACGGCGTAACCTTCAAAATTAAGGACAAAAGGGAAAAGATTGACTCTGTTCAGAAAACATGGGAATTTTTAAGAGTCCAGCTGGGAGAGCCAGAGGAGGAAGGGAAAAAAAGGGATGGACAGTAGGGTATTCTGGAGAAGATTCTCTATCAGAGAAAGGGGCAGCACCCCCCAAAAGTCCTTACAAATTGCGAAAGAGACTGGGCAAGGGAAAATGAAGACTGAAGGACTCTGAACTGTGCTTTTGGAATTTTTAAAAACTAGATGCTTGGGGATCTCTCTTGTAACAGTTAAAATTAAGAATTGAAAAAGATAATACTATACTTGACTTAGTTCATAATGGGATTAGCGTGATTAAGTGATAACGTATGTTTAAACTGATTTGATTCCCTCCTCTCTTGGGTTTTTAGTCAGTAGTGGGTACCTTTTCTTTATCCTTATATGTAGTCACCTTCCATATTTTCTGTTATAGTTTGTAGTGTTAATAAAAATGCAATAAAAAATCCCCTCCGGGGGGCATAAAAAAAAAAGATTCATCCTAAGTGAACATCCTAAGTGAACATCCTAAGTGAACGCTGCACGTATTATATATTTATTTACTTACTTCATTTACCCCTCGCCTTTCTCCCCAATGTGGACCCAAGACAACTCACATCATGCTCCTCTCCTCCATTTTACCCTCACAACAACCCTGTAATGCAGGCTAGGCCAAGAATGTGTGACTGGCCCAAGCTTACCCAGCTAGGTTTCATGGCAAGAGTAGATGATTTGAACCTGGGTCTCCCAGATCCAAGTCCAACAGCCTAACCACTACACTGTGCGAGATCTCAACTCCACTC